ATGACCTTTTTGCTTTAGGGTGTGAATGAAGTTGCCTTGCCTATAAGCCAGCATCCTCTGTTCTGTGTGGGCTATGCTTAATAAGATGCCTTTGAGTTTAGAAGTTCAGGTTAGATGCATTTATGTGTAGTGGATTAGACTGCTGTATTGCACTGCTTTCAAGGAACACAAACAGCATATTTTCCTAAAACTGATTCTAAATTGCTTAACCAGGATTTGTTGCACTTATTGTGAAGTTTGTCCACCGGCTTCTGGTTTGCTGCAGGACTTGAAAAGCCTTCTGCTTACTTACAAGGTACTACGGGTTCAAGTCTGAGCCTTACACTGATGTAAAATGTTATACGGATCACAGTAAATAGTACGGAGGGGATTGGAGACTGAAGAGGCAGAACTGAGCTACAGATGGTGTGATGAGTCACAGATGGCATGACAGAAGAGAGCACTACACACACACACACAAATGCGCTCGCACTCGCGCACACACACACACACATACACACAAACACTGATACACACTCTCACCTCTTTATTTTTAGCCTGCTCAAGGGAGGGGGGGGGGACCCCAGAGATTTTTTTTTTCGTTCCACTTTTCTGTTGTCTTCTGGCTTTATTTCACTATTGATTTACACGATTGTTGACCTAAACCATGGCAGACGATTATGCTTTACTTGGAGAGGTACAACGTAGCGCTTCTCTGCACCTATGCTGCCTTCTGTCCTTTTATACATTCAGCACATACAGCTGAGCGTGCAGTTTCGGGTCTGAGCACAGGGTCAGCGCTTTATGCTGCACCTGACACACCAGGGGATTAGCATATTCCTGCAGTACCGGATGCTACAGTCTCAGCACGGCAGTTCTCGGGCCCTCTTTTACACGACAGTGCCACCTAGCAGTTTGGAGGGCCAAAGACTGCATGCATACTACTAGCATGAAGTAGGAGAAGATGGATGACAAACTTTATAATAATTATAATAGAATTATTATTATTATTATTATATGTAATATATCTGTATTATACAAGCATACATGTTATAATACTTAATATATCATATTTAATATGAAATATTAAGCACTTCTTTACACAGCGTGTAGTCAGAGCATGGAATAGTCTTCCTGCTAGTGTAGCAGAAGCTAAAACCCTGGGTTCCTTTAAATCAGAGTTAGATAAGATTTTAACAACTCTGAGCTATTAGTTAAGTTCTCCCCAAACGAGCCTGATGGCCAGAATGGCCTCCTCTCGTTTGTAAATTTCTTATGTTCTTATGTTCTTGATATATCAAATTTAATATGCAAGTGTATATATATATCACGTCATATCATATCATATTAAAGTATATTGCAAATATGTTTCATAGCTATATTTTTATAATAAAACAACAAAAATAATAATTATTATCATTATTACGGCAATAATAATAAGAAGAATAATTTTGATTATTATTATTAAAATTATTATTATTATTATTATTATTGTTATACTTAGAACATTAGTGCATTACTCTACTAAATACCATTTAGGCCCAGTCCAAATGACATTGACAAACTCAGAGATTTGGGGCACATTCCCAGTAAGTCCCTGAGGGCTTAGGGCTGTCCCACTGTAGAACTGCCGCGTGTGTGATGGCTCTCTTGCAGACATTTTGAGCCCTTTATGCAGGCTGTTCATAAGATGGTGTTAGAACGACACATTCACAACCACAAATATACTGACATTCAGACAAATACCACACAAAAGGTGGAATCCATTCAAACAGAAATTCCAAAATAAGAAAATGTATGATGAGTATTAATGATCAGAAACAAAGAAATGTGGCATCCTGCATATTTCCATCTATCAATCCTGCAAATGCTTGTCCTGCTCAGGGTCAATTATATGACTATTTATGGAAAAAATATTAATTAGCCACCACTGTAATTGGATGCTGCATATATTGCAACATTTAGGTAAAGGAATTACATTGTAAGTAAATTAAAGATGCCAGTTAGCTTAACTGCATGTGATTGGACCGTCAGAGGAAACTTGTGGGTTGCTGGGAAAAACAACAAACTCAACACATGCACAGCAGAGGTGGGATTAAATCCCTCTATCGTAGAGTTTCAAGACAGCAATATTGCAGTTCTCCCACATCTGCAAAAATGTGAATGAATATGATGCAATGAATACAAAATTGTCAGTTTTTTTTTGAAGATCATACTACTCTAATTTGCAGCATGTAGGCCTCATTCAGCATGAAGATTTATGGGTAAGATTCTTAGCCTTGTGCCAGTACAAACCTCCTTTTCCACGACAACACGACAGAATGTGCCAATACTTCTTTAACATACAGGCAGGCTGAACTTTCAATGGACTTTTTATTGGATTAAAATGAATTGTAAGTGATGTGGATAGATGTAATTCTCAGTATTAATGAGTTTTAATGACAGCCACGTGGTTCATTCCTTCTAGGCTCAGACCTTCTCCTTCCTGGTGTCATGTGATCTGTTCTCTTAGCAGGGCACAGAAGCAGTGGTAAGGAAACTGGAGTGTGAGGACTGTAGGAGGCAGGGATGCGTAGGTTGTCCTGGAACCACTACACAGCACTGGTTCTGCTACTTACATGGTGTGTTTTCTGTATTCTTACTGCTGTTTGATGGTGCCTGTTACATATGTCTTCTATTTGGTTCATGGTAAAATGTCTGTCAGGAACTTTTTACATAGATATATGTAATTTATACTGAAACAAAAATGTATTATAAAAAAATATTAAATCAAGAATGGCATGTGGAAAGCAGAGTTTGGGTGAGAGCATGAATGTGTGAGCCTGCGAATGTAACTGAGCTCCTGTTATGTACGGAATATATTGTTACTACCACCACTACTACTATTACTATTACTACTACTATTACTACTACTACTACTACTACTACTAATAACAATAACAATAATAATAATATTAATAAAACAGCAATGAAGGGTTTTGTCGTGGCCCAGTGGTTAGTGCCGCTGCCTCACAGCACGAAGGTCCTGGGTTCGGTCCACAGGTCAGGCATAACCTTCCTGTGTGGAGGTCACATGCTCTCCCAGTTTTCGCCAGGGGCTCCGGTTTCCTCCCACGGTCCAAAAGTGTGCAAGATAGGTTGATTGGTGAGTCTGAATTGGCCCTGTGAGTGTGTGTGCACCCTGCGGTGTGTTGGCGACTGCCCAGGGTTGGTTCCTGCCTGTGCCCGTTGTTCCTGGGATAGGCTCTGGTCCCCCTGTGACCCTGGTTGGGATTAAGTGGTCACAGTGATGGATGGAGGGGTAATAATAATGGGTTGGTGCCCCTGGGTTGTTCCCTGCCGTGTGTGGGTTACTAATAATGATAATATGCCCAGTGACAGGCTGTACCCCTGCCTTGTGCCCGCTGTGGCCTGGGATTGGCTCCCTGCTTCCCCGACCAGCATACGTGGTTAGAATATGGCTGCCTTATTGTGGGTTTCATTACTTCCTCACTAGGGAAAAACCTCATTCAGGTTCTGTATCAGGCTCATTTTTCTTACTCACAGGACCGCTGTGTATTACTGTGTGTGAGAATGTGTGACTGAGCCCCCCCGGCTTGCTGAGGATTACATCCTGTAAACATGGAAATCAAGGATACTAAACTAGCTAATCTGACATTTAATTGGTTCACGCTCCCTCTGAAAGGTTTCGGTATCAGTTACAGTATTTTTTCTTCATCCTCCTTAATGTAGAAATGAGGGACTCCCCGTGTTGCCATGATAACCTAGTTTCAGTATCTATGACGACAGGCATACTCTGTGTTGTCATGGCAATGCCATCTCCTATTACACATCCCAGGCACAACTGTAGCATGGGGCTTACTGCAGCAGGCCAGGGCTCCACCTCGATTCCCAGAATGCACTATGTTCCCCTGCAAGCCGGAGCAGCCAATAGGACATTATCAGCCACTTCCTATGTCCCATATTACGTTGTTCTTAAAGACACACGCATATCGTAGGCCTACATGCAGCCAAGGCACAGACACCCACACATAAAGGCACACACACAATCACGTTTCACATATCCATGTATTTGAAGCTTTTTGTATCTGTGTTTTGTATTGGTTTTATGCCTTGATATCATGCTGTAATTTTATGAACTATGTGAAGCACTTTGGGCAGCAAGGGCTGTTATTGAAGTGCTATATAAATAAAGTTGACTTGACTTTTGTATTATTAATAAATATAAAATATTTTTTATGTCAGAATAATAAAGATGGACATGATTATTTAACAAATCTATTTCTGTTGGATAATGTGGTGTCAATGTGCAGCTCTTTTTTTAATGAAAAGGAAGCCTGCAAAATATTTCCACTTGTCTAGGACAGAAGCAAACACAGACAGACATCAGTGTGCAGAGTATTTCCTCTTCAGCAGTGACTATTCTGTATTACTCCCTCTAACGATGTTGTGATGTATCACAGCACACCCATGTAAAGTGCCTTGGGACGATACTGTTGTGAAAGGCGCTATACAAAAATGAACTGACTACAAAACATGAGGAAAACACACTTCCCTCAACGGGTCTTACATTAACATAAAAGCATGGCAGTACATAATTTCATAAAGTTCAAAGAAAGTTGAAGGTGTCAACCATGCATTAATTTACTTCAGACACCACAAATGTCACTGTGCCTTCTGTGTTTTCTGACATAATTTTGACTAGGACTAAGATTTTAAGAGTTTATTTACTCTGAGTGAGGTGAGGTGCAAGTGTGTGAAGAAAGCAGTTTGTCGTGAGCTTTTCTGACATCGGTTTTGCGGGCAAATGTAGAATCTGTGTGGAGTGTGGAGCTTCCTAAGGGGACCCTGAACATGAGGATGTCAGACTGCAGTGGGTCAAATCCTCTCCACACATAGGTAACCTGTCAAATTCTCCTTCTATCAATACCATGTTATGTTTTAAGTATCACATGCACTCAGACACACACAAGACACTGAAAATACCACAACTCCTATACAAACACACATAGACGGAGAGATTATGTAAAGCAGAGGTTCGTTTATTTCAATCCATACATGAAATATTTAGCGATTTTATTTACCTACATAGAATAAAGCGCACCTTTACCTAGGAATGGTTGATACTGACCTTCAACCCTTCCTCACTGCCACCCAGATGAAGCCAAACCGCCTGGGAGGACCAGAAATGGCTTGGACAGATGACAGTTTTGTGGAATTGAAGTTAGCCAGTACAAGGACACCACCACAACCACCACGAGGGGACTGAACAAGCCCCGACAGGGCACACCGAGCATCACAGGGTTACCACCCAAGATCTGCTGGCAGCCTCCAGAATCCAAACTCATTCACTGTTGCAATGTAATGCAACAGTCAGTAGCCAGTCGCTACCAGGAAATGTTAATACTGTTGACTGATCGGGTGGCAGATGTACAAAAAAACATGCTCATCTCTTACTAGAGGTGGTCAGTGCTCAGAACTATATATACAGTGCGATTTAACATCAGTGAGCTAATAAAACACCATTAACAAGCAAAGCTACAGAGCTACACAAGAAAACCAAAAGAAACAAAATGATACATTATAGCTATGAAAGAACATAGAGGTGGATCTCCTTATAAAACAGTTATGTAAATATACATTGAAATATAAAATCCAACGTGTGATGAATATGTACAGTGTCACATGCGCAGCTCCTGCGTGTTAAAACAATATATGAATTTCATACATTTCTCCATGTTAAAGTTGCGATACTTAACAATTTTCAATATTAAAACCACAATGGAAAACCAAAGCCAGATCAGTGACGTTTGAGCCTCTTTCGGCTAATTAAGCTTAGCACTATTACACCACTTGTGTGTAGTCCAAATAATATCACAGATGAAAAAGTGCACAGGAATATTCACCTGACAGACACTGCACACTAAAAGGCTGACAGGCGTTACAGACTTCACCTCTTTCTCACATTTTAGAGGTTATTCGACCCTGTCTATTTTTTTTCCCTATACTTATCATCAAATATCACTTCTTAATGCTTAATGCCACATTAAAAGCTACAGCATTTCTCTGCTTTCTGCAATGCATTGCTGGCAAGACGGAAAATATATTACAGATATATTTGGATTTTATATTATAACATGCATGGCAATAACCTTGGATAGCAAACAGAAAAAAAAGGGAGAGCAGAAGGGTACAAACTGAATGAGAGGTAATACCAAATGCGGGGGGGGGGCAGACATACAGCTCATGGAGACACTTAAAAACCCAGACAATTGTGAAGCAGTAGATCTCCAGCAGGGGGCGACGACAGCAGACCCAGCCCTTTGATGGATCTGGGACTATCATGCACATTAAATCATGTCTTTGTGATGCAAACGGTGTAGAGAAAGGTTCTGGAAAAAAAGCATAAAAACAGTATACAATGTCATATTAGCCCCAGACAACATATTTACTTCAAAACAGCGAAAAGTGAGATCTAGGAAAAAAATGTACATTATTCATAACGAATACGTAAATTATGTATAAAATTTTAAGTGATAAGCCCTGTCTCAGGATGAAAGGGCATAACAGCAGCGGCAGAGTTTAGGTGCTGGGGGGGGAGGCGGGTTAAAGAAGAGGCTGAAAAATAAGATGAAGAGTCATGAGGAAGTATGCAAAGCCATTATTACATTACAATTACATCGAGGCAACAGTGACATCAGAAGTGAAAAGGCTATAAACATATACTACTGAATGTACAATATGTACAACTGTAATCAGGTGTATTGGTAATTATAAAGCAGGTCAAAACCATTATGTGAAAAGGGCAAGTCGGAATTCAAAGTCACTCAAAAAACAAGAATCGAAGGGCAGAGCTGAAGAGCAGCACATGAACAATGGACTGTATGAGCGAGCGAGCTTCCAGTCTGCTGCAGCCCTCTCCCTGCGGCACACGGGAGACGGGTAACAAGCCTGGGAGCGGATCACGTGGGTGTGGGAAGGGATTGGGGGGCGGAGGAGAGGGAGGCGGGGAAGGGGGGGGGGGGGGTGAGGCAAGGTGGAAAATCAGGAAGGAGGACACCAGATTATGGTCCATGAAGTACCTGAAACAGAACACAGAAAGCACAAAGGCACACAGAAAGCCCATGCAGGGTCTAACAAAAGGTAAACCACAAATGACCCATTTAAGTTTTATTTCTGTCTCATTTCATTCTCATTTTTCTGCTGTATTCTGCAGCCACTAATGACAAATATGGAGGACCAGCGCAAAAAAAACAAAAAAACACTGTCGCAACACCGTCAGCAGAGTGAAAGCAGAACGGGCATATTGCAGTGGCAGAACGGGCATATTGCAGTGCCACGCTCTGGGAACTGGTGCGACCAAGTCATCACTGTCATAACCACGCCCACACTACAATGACCATTGCCTCACCATGCTAACTAGGCTTTCCGCATGATAGGCAGGACAAGGAAAGCAGAAAGACTAAGGAAACGGACAGGCAGAGACAGGAAAGGAAACAGACAGACAAGAAAGAAAGTCTGACAGACCTGCAGATGCACAAACTGGCAGGAATCAGACAGACAGAGAGAGAAAGGCAGAGAAAGACAGAGATAGATGGATAGAGACAGACAGAGACATAGACAGACAGAGAGACAGAGACAGACAGAGACAGTCAGAGACAGAGATATAGACAGACAGAGAGACAGAGACATAGACAGACAGAGACATAGACAGTCAGAGACAGAGACATAGACAGACAGAGAGACAGAGACATAGACAGACAGAGACATAGACAGTCAGAGACAGAGACATAGACAGACAGAGAGACAGAGACATAGACAGACAGAGACATAGACAGTCAGAGACAGAGAGGCAGACAGACAGACAGATAAAACACCTGCAGCCAGAACTCCACATCCATCCCAAATCACATGATAAATGCGAAATGATGCCTTGACCTATTCAGCCTTACCACAGGCCTGCTGGCCTTCTGGCGTGTACGGTGTGTGTATGCATGTACACTGTAGTGAGCATAAGAGAGTGACTCTGTGTGTTCATACAGGAAGAAGGCGGCCATCTCACGAGCAGGACCCCTCCCACCTCCTCTCCCAGATCCCACGGAAAGGAAGATCGGTAGCGTGTGCGTGCGTGCATGCGTGCGTGTGTGTGCGTCAGCTGAACTGGATGCCATGGTTACGGGCTCCACCTACCGCTTCCACATTAGGGGGAGAGAGGAGACAGCAGGATATGTCGTGACATTACCAGACGAGAGAGCCTGCGAATAGCAGCCAGTCACCTCCCACCTACACTGAAGCAGTTCGTCGCTTGTCCCCAGCAGAAGATGCAGATTATTTATTCAGCTCCACTATATTCATTCACCCTTCTTGTGTTGCTGTATTTACTGTTTACATACAAATGACACAATGTATCACAATGTATTTTTATTGTAAAAACCTCTCACTGTCGCTTGCTGCCAGTTGCCGCTGTCTGTATGGAGGGACGTTATTTCGTGCCGCAGCACAGCTGTATATAGACAGTATGACAATAAAGCCCTTTGCCGGCTCTATTCCGCTTGTCCTGTACAGGGCTGTGAGGGTCCACAGTGCATCACAGGCGTTTTTGAAAAGCAGAGCATTACGTAGAATATATTTCTACGTAATATTATTAGATCATATGATATTATTGACCTACGGCCAGGAACTGAGCCGCCCTCTTTGCTACCTTTTCTGAGAACTGGAATCTAATTTTTAATCTTCCTGCAGTGAGGCTCTAATCCATCAGGCGAAAATGAACAGTGGCCTATTTTCTTATGACATCACAGCACTACACACTCACCCAGAGATTATGGGCTTAACAACGCCCGGCTTGTTTACTGCATTAACATTACTGTACATGCTTAATATAGACATATCTGTGCAGCTGCATGCATTTTTATGACATCACAGCTTCACTGCACACGCCCAGTGATGAGCACCGCTCTCCGCTCACATGCTGCACCTGCTCCCTCACGCTCCTGCACAGATTCACACCCTCCTCCCCCGGGGAGACATCGCTCCAATTCACATGGATCGCTCCCACCTCCCTGAGTCACTCGCGGTCACCGTGTCCTGTTCTTTCCAGTTTGCATGCTCCCTCTCACTGTCCGCCCCGCAGCCAGCCAATGGCAGCACTCCGAACGGTCCGAATGCATCGCATAATCATATCGCTCTCGTGGCGACGGCACTGCTGGGAGCCACACACACGCTCGCCGCTCCGGCCGATGGCACGAGCTGCGGCACGCTGGCAAGCAGCCAGCTGCCAGCACTCCTGTTTCGGGCAGCACTTCAGCACACGCTATCGGGAAGCTCCGCCCCCTAACGCGGCACAGCTGGAGAAATCCGATTGGCCCAGCTGCAGCCACTCTCCCAGCATCCACACTTCTTCAGAAATTGCTCCCTCAGCATTGCAAGGCCATTGACCAGGTTTTACTGGCTGATTCACTGGCCAAAGATACGGGCCAGCCAGCCAGCCCTCTCGGCGCTGTGGATGATCCCCTGTCATTGTTGTCGTGCTGTTTATCCTACTATGGGGCAGCGTGTGGCTCAGCGGGCTAAGCCTCCGTGAGTCCTTAAGCAAGGCCCTTGACCCCCAGCCCTCCTGGCTGCCGCTACGGGTCACTGCCGAGCTTGATTTCACCCATGGAGAGTCAGATGGGGGAGGCGAAGAGAGAATTCCCCCACAGGGATCAATAAAGTATAATCATTTCATAATTCCCTCTTGCTGTAGATCAGGGCTGCCCAATCACGCTCCTGGAGATCTACCACCCTGCATGGCTTAGGTACAGATAATCAGGCCTTTCAGTTATATCTCAGTATGAGAACCAGCTTAACTTCAACATAGCTGACTCTAAAACTGAGACATAACTGAAGGGCCTGATTATCTGTATCAGGTGTGTTAAATTAGGGCTGTACTAAAGCCATGCAGGGTGGTAGCTCTACAGGAACAGGATTGGGCACCCCTGCCCTAGATGAACCTGGCACTAAACGCCGCTCTGACACTCGGTCCGTTTGCTCAGGCAAGGTACAGATCACCTGGTCTGAGTACAAGCTGACTGAGGATGCCAGCAGAAGCCCTCAGCCGCTCTGGGGCTCTGGCACGGCCTCCTGCAAGCCCATCGCCAGCTCAGGCCACCCCTCTTCCCCTGCAGGTTTTCCCTTGTTACAATTTCATTCTGCTTGAACAATGACAATAAAGTTCTAGAATCTTGAATCTCCTCCAGCTGAGCTGAACTTTCCTCCCAAAAATAAACTTGGGGTGTGATGAATCATGGGATTGGCCTCATTTGGCAAGGGTGCAACCGATGTATCCTTCATGTTAGTGGAGGCAGGGCAAGAATGACATCCGGGGATTTTTACCGTCCTTTGTACTTGAGTATTGGAATTTGAGTATTGTTCTTTGGCAGTGGAATATGACATAAAATGGGTACAACAGAGCACAAGTACAGTCAAGTATGCATATTGGGAAATGCCCCTGGTCCCTCCGAGGCCAGTTCTCATGAAACCACTGCTGTGTTTACGCTCACGGCCTGCCACAATAGCCACACACTGCTCCTTTTACAGAGCAGCTGTTTGCGCAGCTGCGTTGCTTTCCGCTAAAACATATCAGATTGAGGGCACAAAGGCAGAGCAATATGCCACTGTCCTGCTGGACCCAGAGGTTCCTTTTGAATGGCTTTTCTACGTGCCACACGGCCAAAATCAGGCTGCCTGAGTGACACTATGAACACCGCTCGAGAGACGCTTGGGGACAGCAGAAGCTGCGCAGAAAAGATGACGGCATCCCAGAAAATGGCGAATGAATGAAATGCTCATGAGTGCAACAAAGCACAGGGCTGAGAACCTGCACTTCAGGGCTCGACACCTCAAAGACAGAAACATACGAGTGGGAGACAGATATTCACACAGGATTCTAAAAACAAGCTGACCATTTCTCCACAGAAAAAGGAAATCCAGGCTTGCTTGAGTACAGAAGATATACTAAACTTTGCCAAAGGCCCTTGGAATTAATAACGCAGAGAGAGTAGAGATGCCTGGATGTACCTGTGAGGCCCCTTAACAGACACTCATCCAGGCACCTTAGGATGTGGGAAAATCAGTGCAGAATGTGCAAGCTTTCATGTGGCTGTGTTTCAGAAGATGTGTCCCATCCCACACACTCCTCTGCCTCATCCTGTATGAGTGTAAGGCCATTGATCTATTGAAATCCATCCTCCAGGTCACTGAGAACTCTGTGGATTGTCCTTACTGCACTGTGACCCTTTTTCTGGGGTTGGTTGTTTCCTCAAACAGCATCTTTATAGCATCTTTCTGTGACCAGTCACACTGACTAAAGGCATTCTCCACATACAGACCATTTAGAGTGGGATTCACATTT